CAACTGCTTCTTCTTTCAGGTATCTTGAAGGTGCTCTGGGAATTTGCATGAGTAACTCATGGAGTGTTACAGTCCACGTTCAGCTAGCACTGATCCAGTGACTCTGCTCTGGAGCACTGACAGGAGTGCCATTTTATTTAATACAGTAAAAATACCAAACTGATTAGAAGCATGATTTTGTTTGAAATCCCTAATGACCTTCACGAAGGAAAATCACGTTTACCTGGCATATGGCAACAACATGCTGCTTCTCCTGAAGTGTTCTGAAATCACAAGTGTCCAGTGTTCATATCAGACATAAGCTGTGGTATTGGGGTGACAGTTGTCCTTCCACCCTAGAGACTGGTGGAAGAAAAAAGTACTCTGGAGTTGAAACATCATGCCCCACTCCACTCCTTCCCCTGCCCATGTTGTGACCGTGCTGGTGACCCCTGCTTGGGCAGTTTGAGATATGTTGATATAGCATGTGAGCTGCCTGTTCTCATCCTTCCTTTTCCAATAACTGTCTTTATTACTCTAGCTCTGTGTGCAAGTAGTAAAACTTGACTGGCTGGGAGGCTGCGTTTGTAGGTCCTTTGCTGAATCAGTGAATTTCAGTCATTCCTTTTAACGTGTGTCTTCCACCAGACATTTTGGAGGTGCTGACAGACATTGATGAGATGTCCAGACGGAGGCCAGAAATTCTTTCCTTTTTTGCTGTGAGTATGACATCTCTAAATGCCACTGAAAGTCAAAGATTCTGTTCACTAGAGTGTGTTGTACAGCCAGCTTAATTGCTTTTCTTACTCTGCTTTTGGGGGGAAGGTGGTGTTACATTTCCCCTAAGATGCTGCACTTTCCATTAGGCTTTCTGACAGCAGGCAGTACGTACCTTCCTACTGTCTTCACTCCATTGCATAACAGTTCCATCATCCCCTTGAACTTCTCTGTATATCTGAGGAAGTAGTAACCTTCTGTCCCCTTTACAATAATGGGACTAGGAGAAAGCAGAACAGCTCCCTAAAAAAAAACACACAGGAGTGCAAGGAAAATTCCTATACACCATAAGATGACAGAAGGGTGCTTTAAAGCATTCAAAACAGGATAATCCTTATTACAGAGAGATTTCCTGTCTCGGCCAGTACCTGCTGGATCGATGCTGGAGGGGTAGTAATGCAAGTCTGCACAGTTCTGATCCTTATATGGCCCTGTGATCCTTATTTATGCCTCTTCTCTCAGACAAACCTACAGAAGCTGATGAGCTCATCAGAGGAGTCCTGCCGAAATCTGGCCTTTAGCCTGGCTTTGCGCTCCATTCAGAACAACCCCAGGTGAGGACCGTGGGGACTCAGGATATTGTGAGTCACTGAGGGGCACTGGCTGCCCACTGTGCGTGGCTGCTGATGGTGAACTGGGCTGCACTGATGCTGAGATGTTTTATTTCTAGCATTGCTGCAGACTTCCTTCCTACCTTCATGTACTGCCTTGGCAGCCGAGACTTTGAGGTGGTGCAGACAGCATTGAGGAACCTGCCTGAGTACACCCTCCTTTGCCAAGGTAAATCAGTATCTGCCTGCTCTGGGTACATGCTTGGTGGCCTTGCAAAAGTCAAAACTGAGCTCCTGTTATGAAAGCAGCTTCCTCGGGAAGTTGCTAGGAGTCAGCATTGCTTAGAATAGTCTGTCAAACATGTCAGTCATCTGTATCAATGCTGCTTCGGTCTGAGCATCACAGAGAGGAGACTTGCCATAGAGATAAGGGAGGTTTCCTTGAAACAGATTTGCTCCTTTACGATCTTCCTCTCTGAGTTGTGATCCCTCACGCAATCCCAAACCCTCAGGGCCATTACAGGGTGAATTATGCCCTGTTCAGTCATAACAGAAGGAGGAAGGTCTTGCACGGCTACAAGCATTCATCCAGGTGTTCACTGGCAGATTGCTGCTCTCAGGCCGCTCCTCACACTGTGTTTCTCTTTGACAGAGCACGCTGCAGTGTTACTGCACAGGGCCTTCCTGGTGGGGATGTACAGCCAGATCGACACCAGCTCTCAAATCTCGGAAGCCTTGAAGGTCCTGCACATGGAGGCCACAATCTGAACACGTGGGTCTGGGAGCCTCGCTTTCAGTGGAATTGAACTGGACCCAACAGCTGCATTGAGGCCCTGTAAGAAGGCACTGTATTTCAACCAATGTCCTGAAGGATCAAAGAGATGATGTCACAGGCCACAGCAAGAGCAGGAAGGGGCAAGGACAGATCTGTCTGGCTAAGTTGCCATTACTGTCAGGAAAAAATCTCCTGAATATTGTGCCAAACAGGGACCAGTTTTGTCATGGAGTCTTAGGGCAGTGGCTGACACTTATTTTGTGCTGTTTTTTGTTTTGTTTTGTTTTTCCTCCAAGAGGGCAGAGCTGCTGGGAGAGCAGAAGGAAGTTTTGGCCCTTTCAGTTGAAGTCTCTGCACTTCATGCTGGAAAAAAAACGTGGATATGTGCAGGGGGAGAGACCATTTAATGTTTTGGTGTTTGTTTTTTTTTTAGAGGGGGCGCCGCCGGCGAGGGGGGTTGGTGGGTGAAGTCATTCTTTTTTCCTCCAATTAAAATTCTTTGTTTCCATTGTGCCTTTTTGTGCTGCCATTGGTGTAGCCTGACAACCTTCTCACCCTGTTCTTCATTGTCTTGTTATTCTAGATACAGCTTCTCTGAAAGACCTGTCTGTGTGGCCAAATGTATGCAGAGCCCTGCAGTGTCTGATGCACAGACTCAGATGTGAACGACCCAAATCATTTATTACAAGTTCTCACATCCCTTATATGCCTTCAAAAGTTTTCTGTTTCTAGCTTTCCCATCCTCTTTGGTATCTGCCAGTTTCTCCCTGTGATTCTTCTCCTAGTCCTTGTCTGCTGATCGATGTGGTTGTTTACTGCCAGCTGTCATGGGAGAACAGAAAAGGTGGTGGCTTCCATCCCTCTGCTGCGGAGAATTCACTGCCCATTTCATAGTCTTACTCTATTCACTGGCTTGCTTTCACATCACTTGTCTCTTTCCCTCTTGTGAGAGACAGTTGTAACCTCGTGGGGGGCAAGATGAAGAAGTATTGTCCATTCTTGCAGACAAGAAATGCTATGACTGAATGCTTATGCTCTATGAATTGCTTGCTTTGCAGAGAATTGGAGGAGAAAAGGGAGAGAGATGAACTTCCCAACCACTGTTAAGTAGCCTCGCCTTGCCTTTAAATAGATTAGAGCTATTGCTTAAGGATGCAACATGCTTTCTTCCTCAGCAGCATCTGCTTCGTATCCAGAGCCACTACTGTGGCAATTAGTTAGATATAAATTATGTGGAGGAACAGCTGAAGAAGATCAAGTCAGTGAAATGGTTTTCCTGAGGGGCTCAATGACAGCAGGATTAACGCCTGTCTAAAGGGTTCCCAGTGAGATTACTGGCTCCTCTCGCTGTAGTCTCTTATCAGGCATCATTAAAACACTGCTCAGTTTGTCAGAGCAGGGAAGTATTTCTCTTGGTGCTGCTGTGTGCCCAGAGCCTCTGGGAACTTATGGGACTGGCTGGGAAAGGGCTTTTCACAGGACTTTGAACTAAGGAGAAATAAAAATGTAACAGGACTGTTATCACAGCAAAGACAGAATCAAAGTAGTGATTCTTTGCTGAAGAGCCTCCCTTTGGATGGGGCTTTCCAAAAATCCTGCTCCAGGGCTTTAACTACAAACATGTATGGGTAAAAAGGAATGGTGTGGCTGGCCTCAAATTCTATGATGTCTGCCTGGAGGCCAAGTTTAGAGGAGAAGAGAACACTCAGATGGTGACAGAACTGTTTAACCACCCCTTGCTGCAGGGTAGCTAGGCTTTGCAGAGCAGTGGGGAACAAGGTGTGCTGGAAAAGGTGGAAACAGCATCTTTATTATCAAGAGCTCGTCTCTTTTGGGAGATCAGGAAACGAATTCAAAAGTTTGTAAGAGGGTAGAAGCTGTGCTGTAGAGCAAGGTATTTCTACTAATCTCCCAATAGAGAAAGCATCATCTGTGATTTGTTTCCCTGCCTGTTTTCTGCTAAATTGAAAGTTCCTGCTATGTGTTTGCTCTGTTATCATCCTCCGCTTGAATGCAATGGAGCTGAGCAGCCTGCCCTGGCTTGAAGCATGCCACTGAAACCAGATCATGGCTGAGAGGAGAGGGGGCAGCTGAGGGGTGCCTGGATATGAAGAGACAGCTCGGGGCAGGAGTGCTGTGGGAGCCCATCCTTAGCAGCTGTGACAGCTCTGAGATGGTTAGCGACAGCATTACAGATGCTCTGACACTCGCCCGCCTTTTAATCAGCACTCTGTAACTTTCATCTCTGCCTGGCTGAGCACCTTCTCTCTTCCCATCCCTGTTGAGCTGACAGCATTATCCTTAGCAGGTCTGCTGGGCTCCTTCTGGGGGCTGGGGCCATGTTCTGCGTCTTTCAGAGACATTGACTCACTCAGAAGAGGAGTGAGGAGGAGGTTTGCAGCACTGCTCCTATCTGAGCCCAGGGGAGCTCACAAGGCTCACCCAGTGGAAATTGCTGCTGCTGTCTGGCTGTCAGAGGACATGCCTCAAAGTGGCAAGATCATTTGGATGCTCCTTTGCCACATGATGCTGCAGTTGAAAGCTTCCTAGGTGAGTTGTGGTCTGTCAGGGATGGTGTCTGGTGTGTCCACCTGGAGTAAGCCTACTCCCAGGCCAGTGCTGGTGTCCTAGAATATCCTGAGAATCCCATCCAGCTCTAGGGAAAGGAAACACTCTCTGCAGGCTTGTTCTTCATCCTGTGGCTGCACCATACTGTGCTGGCAGCCGCTCTTCTTGTCTGAGTGCCTGCTGTATGGAGATGGTAGAGGATGGGAGCAAAGGAGGGGCTGCAGATCCCTTCCACTAAGCACAGGTAGACAAGGACAGGGTAGGAATGCCATCAGTATGTTTTATAATGATTCTTCCAGCACAGCTTCCGAGTGGGGCTTTTTCCAAGCCTTCCACTGCCCAGAGTGGGGGTTCAGGGCTGGCTTGTTCCTTCTCCTGTAGAGCTGAACCTACCATGGCTCTTACTCTTAGCTCTCCTAGACCTGGGAGGCTTTCGGTTTGCCTTTGAGGTGCTTCTCTGAAAGAGGATGTCTGCTGCAGCAATAGCAGACAACTTTCATAGGGAAGAGGGTGGGCACTCCCTAGGTTTCAGCCTATGCAGTCTTGGAGACGTGGAAGGGTGCAGTCGCTGTTGCATTTTCTGCTTGGACAACAACTGCCAATGCAAAAACATCAGTAGATGTGACGTAGAACTGTATCTGGGAAGATCTTTGAAGAAGATCTGATGCCTGAGTTGAAGAAATGGACTGCTATGGAAAAAGGCATCTGCTATTTGGGAGAGTTAGCCATGGTGGAAATGTTATATGAGCCCACATTCATATCTAATGATCCATACCAAGAGCACAATCCTGAGCAAGTCAGGCATACATCATATATGCCATGGAAATTCACAAGAACAGCACCGGATAAGTACACCAGAACACTAGCAGGAATGTATGAGAGGGAGCAGAGAAGATCCCTATTATTTGAACTGATTATTACACTTCATAACTTTGGACTGGGAGTCACAAGACTTCCCCTTTTTTTCCCCTCTGGGAAGGGGATGGAGGTGGTGCCTCTCATCCCAAGTCCTTGCACTCACCCAGCATGAAGCCTCACCACGTGTATGTACTCCTGTCAGATAGCAGAAACAAGAGCAGCCATCCAGGCACGCAGTGGCTGGCAGGAATTTATCGAGACTGAGCTGGATGGAGTCTGATGTGGCAATAGCATGCTCCCATGCATGCTGGTGCTGCAGGGCAGGGGCAGCGGTGCTGGTTTGGCTGAGAGCAGGCTGGGACTAACAGGACTAACAGGGGAGTTGCCTGCCTGACTCAGTGGCAGCTGCCCCTGGGGAATGGATTACAATGGGGAACTGGAAGAGACCCAGCTCTGACCTCAGAGGCAAATCTGCCTGACCTGCTCCTGGCAACAGAAAGGCAGGGAGAGGCAGAGGCTCTCCAGGTAACTGCTAGCAAACAGGCTTTCATGGACAGAGGCATCAGTGTTTTGCCAGCCTTTAAAATTAGAGGAAGGAGAGAGAGACTTTGCTCTGCAAGCAGCAGCATGCGAGAAGCTTTGTGCAAAAAAAGAGAGAGGAAAAGTCCATCTCCATTACTTACTGTGTACGGGTAAATGTGGGCTGAGGAGTCTATGACTGCTCCCTGGTGCCTCGCCATCTTCAGCCAATTCCATCTGTGACCTCAGTTGGTGACAGCTACAGTTCTGGCCCTGTCTGATCTCAATTAACTTCCCTCTGGCCACACTGCAGTTCAAAACAGCATGATTCACACTTAAGTCAAGGAGTTATTCACTAAAAGGTAAAAATGTTAAGACTTTCGTTAGCTTTGTGTATGTCAAGGCCAGCCCCACACCAGCTAAGCAGCCTGGATTCTATAGAGGTAGCATTTGCCTAAGGTGGATTGATGTTTAAACCTCTGCTTTGCCTTACCATGCATTTAAATAACCACCCAAAAGCAGCAGAAAATAGAGTTTGTATTTTCTCCTTTTAAATTCAAGAGATCTTAATAATAACATCTCTGCTTGTCCTGTGTAGCTGGTGTTGTCTTGCCTTTCGCCTTGCCCTGTTTGCGTGAACAGCATCTCTATCTGAGGAAGATATTGGACAAAAGAATGTCAAGACCCCCAGCAACAATTAAAAAAATCATTAAGCTACAATAGGCCAGTCATTATCATTACTGGGTAATTATTAAGCTGTAAGAATTGCTAATTGTCTTATTAGCATTGAACAATTATGCAAATAACAGAAAGCATACCATAAAAGTAATAAAATTACCTCTTTTTTTTTTTTTTAAATCAATAATGAGATTTAAAAACTAAGGCAATGCTTGCAGATTTGCCCTCTCTGGAGTTTATTGGGGATGTCATTGGAGAGAAGTGAGACCACTCGTGGCACTCTGCGCAGGGTGAGTACAACATTTTGAACCACATCTACAGCCACAGCACCAGGCTGTGTCCCCTGCTCTGCACCCACACAGGCAGCCAGGGACCCACAGGGGCCGAGGGCACGTGGTGGTCTCAGAGTTAGAGCAGGGCTGGATAGAAAGTCTGAATTTTGCATTCCTACAGCATGCCTGGCTTTGTGCAACCTGTTCTCCCTCAGATAAAATGTGGGGCTTCAGGTTTGGTCTGGGTGGAAGTAAGGCAGATGGTAGCCTTTCATACCAATCTAAGGCAAAAGTGGAAAGTCTTGGCCTTTAAAATTATTTTATTTCAAGGGTTTTATCCCCAGCTGGAAACCTGAAGTAAGAGCTGGCCTCTCTTCCTGGTAAGGAACCAGATGGATTTCAGAGTTCAGCTCTAAGCAGAATGCTGAAAACGTGACTTTGTTTTCCAGTGGAACAAGTATAAAGCTTTATTTGCTCACGCCATCGTGAAATGGAGGCTTCATTTACTTGTGTCTGCAAGGAGCTTGAAAGAGGCAAAGGGCTTCTTTGCTAAGAGTGATTAACACTGTTAATCACTAACAAACATTATCGTGTTTCCGGGCTTTAAATTCTGCTCCGCTGATAAAACACAGCATTTCAAAGCTGCCAAGCCAGCTCCTGCTCCAGGGCGGGCCCTGCTCCCATGGTGATGCCATGACAGATATGGTTCACCTCACACAATCTTAGGATCCAAAGAGGTTTTGATCAGCAAAACACCTTTGCTTTCGCTTTCTGATAAGAGCAGTGAAGTTTGTGGCTCTTGGAGAATTGCATTTTGTCATGGCTGTGTGAGGGTCACAGATCACCACCGGCCATTTCAGCTTTCTCTGAAGAGAAGGGAAGGTCAGCTTCTGACCAGCACCATCCTTGTTTGTCTGTGCCCTGCTTTCAGTTCCCTGAGCTTCACTGGTGCCCTACAAAGCAGTTGTTATCTCTCTCCATTTTTCCTTCTCACCTGGTGGGAAGGATGCAGCAGGTGGGTAGTTTGGGGTAGTTTCCTATCCTTGCTGCTTGGTAATGAATTTCTGAGATGGATTTCTTGCCTGTCTCTCACCTTTCCATGCTGGGGACAAGAAAGCCAACAGGCCAGCTTGACAGTAATGGATAATAAGAGAGAGACTTGGTGGTGGACTTCTTTTTAGTCAGGCACTGTGTTTCACCTGGGTGGCAGGACACAATTTGCCCTGATGCTTTGTTTTTGATGTTTTGAGGATTTGGGATAATAGCTATACCATTCACAAGTTTCTCAGTGGCGTATGTTGCAGAGAGATTTACCAAAGTGCCCTTCTCTGCAACTTCACGTTTCACTTGCATCTTCTTTCAGTGGAAATTCGTGCTCAGACTTGAATTTTTTAATAATTTTCTTCTCCTGAAGGTCATACTAGCCAGGCTCCATGGAGAGGCAGTATCATGCAGAAGCATTTCTGTGTTAGTAGCTGTGAAATTGTAGAAGCTTCCTTTCCTTTGGTTTGGGCCTCTCTGTCTCTGTGGAGTCAGCCTGGCTGCCTTCTGGGAAGAGAGAGCTGATGAGGCATGTTACTGATGAGACGTGTGCTTTTTCCTTCTTGTTTTGAATCCCTCAATTTAATGTAAGCCATTGGCAAGGGAACGTATGAGAGCTCCAGGCTCCAGCACGTACTTCCTATTGTTGAGAGTGAACAGCCCTGTGTACAGCCTGCAGCAAAATTATGAAGTAGCTCAATTTGATCTACTGATTTCCCACAATAGTTAAAAGATGTGCTTTTTCAGCCTATGATGTTGTGCGCTCTTATGAAAAGTGTTGGTTGAGGCCCCGTGCTGCCTGATATGAGGAATCAACCCTTTCCTTCTTCCTCGGGTCCTCAAAGTAACAAATGTTGGCTTGTTTTTCATTGGGCTTTAGGGTTGTTCTTGTCATATATTAAGCTCCTACTCTACTAATGGTAAAACCCAGGATACTGCATATGGGAGCCAGAATAAATTTAAGAGGTGGTATCAGAGAGTGATCCCCACTAGTCATAACAACTGTCAAAAAGCACTCAGCATTTCTCTGCTGTAGTCCAGTATCTAGGAAGGGAGCTGAAAAGGAGTGAGAGGGAAGGAAAAAATGTCTGAAAATACAAAACAATAAATCCTCCTTATCCATGGCCTATTGTGCTCCAAAAGCATCTGAACACACGTTGGGAGGCACGAAGGCAAGGTGCACAAAATGGGGATAAGGGCATGTAAGGCACCTCCAAGGAAAACGTGTAAAAGGGAAGAACGCAATCCAGAGTAAACGTTTGTGAGCTTCATTCTGCAAGGAATGTCCTGTGAGATCAGCAGTTGTTGGTAATGGGTAAGCAGCTGTAAGACAGTTCTGCTCCTGTCCTCCCCAGTTCCTCTCTCTAGTGGTTGTTAGTTTACCTGTTGGTACATTAAAGACTCATCATAGCTATAAACTCCTGCAGAGCCCTCCTTAATCACCAACTAAGAACACCGCACAAGTCGCTGATGCCTGTGTTTTGAAAAGCCATTATTGGGGCAGTGGTACTATTAGTGCTTTAGCTAACTTGTTCAGCAATGTCACTTTAATCACCTTAACATAACCTGCTTCTTTTGGTAGAGCAAGGGCTCTGTCTCCAGCTTAGCTCTCTTGGGATGCGCAGCCTGAAGCCAATGGCTAACAGACTCTTCTTTTGGTGTCTGCAAGCCTGGATGCCTTTCTGATAGGTTCGCCTCAGTCAGACACAGATGACCGGGCTCAGTATGGGGAGGAGTAGGTGACATGTAGTGTCCTGTGACATACAGAAAATAGCAGCTGCTCTCATAGTCCAGCCTGGCTTTCCACTCTGTGGATCGGTGTCCCCTGCCACCCAGCCCCAGCTGCCCCTTCCCAAAGTGCGAGGTAATGAGAAGGCACTGACCACATCGACTCATTAAGCTGGGTTTGTTGGAAGACAGATTGTCATGTTAAACAAATATATTAAAAAAAAAAAACAAACAGATATCATTCCCTGTGCTGTGCCCCATCTGGGCCATTAAATCTGAAAGGGGCAACTACAGCTGTGTCAAAGCTAGGCTCAGAAGCTGATTTCCACCACTGATTGGCAACAACTCCATTTCCAAACATCAATTTTGTCTCCTCATTTCCCAGTGCTGCTCTATTTAGGTTGCAAGCACAGCAGGGGGATGCATACTGCTAAACAAAACAGTATTTGGGACTTCAAACAAGAGAAAACCCACAAATGGATTTCCTGAACCCATCACCTCCTTTTTATTTCTCACAAGGCCCCTTGGCTAAGTGACCTGATGACAGAGGATAGGAAGGACCCATCTGCCCATTGTTAGCCAGCTTGCTTTTCATGAAATTTCATCAATCTAATGAAAAGGTGGTTTGGAAACAAACCAGGACAGCTCAGCTTTCAGTGTTCCAGCACAGTAGTTTCCAACTTGCGAGAAAGCAAGGCTCTTTTTTTTTTGAGGGGGAAGAAAAAGAAACTATTTTGAGTGAACCCAGCTCTTCTTTAGGTTGGCCCCTTGGTAGTCTGATTAATTTTGAGTGCAGATGTTTGTCCCATCCTTCCCAGATTATACGCAGTACTTGAGAGCAGGCTTACTGTGCCGTATGTCCTACTTGCCTCACTGCTCTGTTATTGTTGCAGTTGTGTGGCAACATATGCTAAGGCCTTATTACAAGGGATTCCTATAAATGGCATAAAGGATTAATAATGTATTTATAACACAACTTTGTTTTAGTATAAAGTGATCTATAAATTTGTAATAAATGTTTTATAATGTTTTTGTAGCCTGTTATAAATGATAAATGGGAGACTATAGATGCCACATCAAATATTCATGCTGCATTGTGTGCATTATTATGCCGTTACTGTTCAGGAAACTATTAATAATAAAGTGAATGGAGATGTAAAAGTTGCTGACATGCCCAGCAAGCCATTTATAATGAAATGTATAATCCTTACCATAAAGTAAATACATTGGCCAGTGATTGTTGATGAAATGGAAACACACTGAATTATTTGTAAGGTATTTATATATTAATGTATATTATCCATATCATGTCATAGAAATACCATTAATATATTATATTATATGTATTATTAATTATTTTTACCTGATTTATAGGCAGCTCCTAAAGCGTTCCCTCGTCTCTTCCGCAGCCATGTGCGACTCTATGTGGTGAGTTACTATTTGGACGTGGCTGATGACATAAATTCACCGCGGCGCTTCTTTCCCCAGCTGTGCCACCTGGGCAGGCTCATTTCTGGCTCCTCCCCGAGCTGCCCCACTCCTGCCTCTCCACAGCCTCAATTCGGCCACACTGAGGTCACCACAGGCTTTCCTCGCACTTGCTGTCTTTTGGTCTTTCAATGCTGTGAGCTGGAAGGGAAACGAACCCTCGGGTTCCCCCCGCACTGAGCAGGGAGCACAGCTCCACCAGGGCTCGCGTCCCCTCAGCTGGGCTGCGCGCAGGGACGGGGCACGGCTCTGTAAAACCTGCGCCACAGCCTCACCGCTCTTAGTGCAACAAACGCTTTCCTTATATCCCTCTACACCTGCCCTCTTTAGTTCCTATGGCCGGGGTGCTGCTGGGCTCTGCCGAGGCAGCCGCAGCGCCCGCTATGTCCGCACACTGATTTCACACAGCGGGGATCCCGGCTCCCCGCGCCCATTCGGCCGCGTTCTCCACACGCAGCGCCCGACGCGAGAGCAGCGCTCGCCCCTCTGCCCCGCACGGCGGCTGAGGCGGGCCCGGCTGAGGGCGGCCGTGAGGAACCACCGCCTCCCGCCCCTTTCCCCGCCTCCTCCTCCTCCCGCCGTCCACCACACGCCCGCGGCTCCCGCAGGCGGCACGGCCCGGGGTCTGCGCCATGGCCGCCATCCAGAACCTGCAGCTGTGGTGCAAGCAGCAGTGCGAGGGCTACCGCGATGTCAGCATCACCAACATGACCACGTCGTTCCGTGACGGGCTGGCCTTCTGCGCCATCCTGCACCGCCACCGCCCCGACCTCATGTGAGTACCGGCACCGCAGGGCGCAGCCCGTCCCGTCCCCTCAGCCGACGCTGCCCTCCGCCGCTCCGTTAGCACCGATGTTGTGACTATGTGAGCAGCGAGCCGCTTTCCCTCCCTCCTTCCTTCCTTCCTTCCTTCCTCCTGCAGGGAGCCGCGGCTGTACGATAAACCTTTTAAAAACGTCCTTTCCGTTGCACGACGTCTTCAGGTATCGCTTTGGGGTTTCGCTCTTCGCTGTGTGTTTGTTGAGTCCTGGCGAAGCGGGCACACGGCCCGGCGCTGCGTCCTGCCGTTTTCCCAGCCGCGATTCTGGCCGTGGGAGGCGAAGCGCTGCCAGCCTTTGCTGCTTCCTTTACTGTCGTCCCGTGGTTTTTGACCTGCCTCTGCTCCAAACGTAACGGCTGGGTATGAGAACTGTTAAAGGAAATTGGAAAATGACTAGGAAGCATCCTAGTTTTTGTCGTTTTTGTTTTAATCTCATTGCACTTTGGGGTGGGGGATTGAGGAGGGAGCAGGCAACCGAGCAGCACAGCCCAGGTGTGTTGGTTTAAGCATTAGGTCATTCCCAGCGAGACGTGGCTGACTGGGGTGTGTGTGTTCTGTACTGGAGTTTTCCAGTTGTTTCTTGAATTCCGCCTTCCCTTGGTCTCCCAGTGCAGCCTGACACCTCTCTATGTGCAGAGATCTTTTATTGCTGTCTTACTGCTGGTGGAAGCCCGAGGAGAAGCTGTTGTTGGTCGCTCACTCCTCTCTATAGCTTTGAAACTTGGAAGGGGCCAGAACAGCCTTGAGAACAGCAGGCTGCAGGAACTTCTGCATGCCCGCTCTGCCTTGCCTTTCCTGCCCGTGCCTGGGCTGTCACCATGGTGTTGCTGTGTGTGGCTTCCTGACGTGCTGTCACATCCACGTGGCTCCAAATATTTCCCTTCCTTCCATTCATTCACAGTCCCAAAGGTATGAAATATCAGAGCAGAAAGGCTGATATGACGGGAGGTGCTCACGGAAGGCCTGGGGCCGCTTCCTGGCCGGCCCTGCTGCTAGACCAGCCAGAGTGTGGGTGTGAGCAGGGCCCAGCAGCTGGGGAACTGGGATCATCAAGCTGACCCCCTTTAGTGGGTTGTTACAGTCCTAGAAGCGCATGCTGAGGGTTGTAGATAGACGTATCTAAAGTAAATGTTTCTGTGTTGGAGAGCGGAAAGGATCCCTGCAGCATCTCTGATCCTGCTGAACTCCTCTCATGCTGGAAATCCTGAAGGACTTTGCAGAAACCCTTTTTGACTTGGGCCAGCTCAGCGAGGCTGCCTGGGGGTGAAAGTAAGAGAAGCTTTTGGTATGACTTCCCTCCTCAGTGTCAGTGGTGCAATGTTGAAAATCACCAGGTATACCCTTGGCTGGCCAAAGTCCTGCTTGAAAGTAAATTACGCTTTCAAAGAGTCGTCATTTCAGGCTGTCACGTGTACCTCAGCTCCCAGGGCTGAGTACTTGTGCAGCTTCCCTGGGAATCTATAAAAGCCCTTTTGGCAGTTTGGCAGCTGGGTGTACGTGTGGCTGTGATTTTTGCTTCCCGGGGGCTCAAAAGTGGTTTATCCTGAGCCCTTCCTTGCTCCTAGAAAAGTTGAGGATTAAATGCATCGTACTGAAAACAAAACCAGAATCGAGTAACTGGTGTTTGGCGAGGCAGTGTTTGCTGTAGCTCCTGTATATAAATTGCTTGCAGGACACGATGCAGTCACGGCAGCAGAGTTTTGTAACATCGTGTTTTTCATCTTGGTTTACATTCTTGGGCTGAGGAGTGCACGATATGGAGAGGTGATTTCTCCTTGAAAGAGCCTGAGAAGTTCACAGGAAAACTTGAAGCAATTACAAAGTGTGATAATAATCATGTGCTTCTCTTGTGGGTTCCATGGGTCAGAGGGCAGGTTGGTGCAGGGCTCTTCCCTGTTCTTGTTTTCTTGCCAGGAAACATACGGACAGTGTGATAACTCCTCTCAGGCTTAGGGAATTCTGTATGTTATCAGTGAGCAGGGCGGGCTGTGTAAAATTAGAAACCCATTTCCAATTCACTTCCCGCTCACCCAGGGATGCGCAGACAGACTGAGCTCTGGGGGAGCGGAGGCACACACTGAATTGCCATGGAAATCTGTTTCTCTTTCATCCCAGATGAAGTGTGCGTGGTACCCATGGGTGTGAACCCATTTTCTGGGATGGTGGCAGAGCACTGAAGTCCCTCTGGTCAGAGGACATGCAGCCTCACAGCAGTGTGCCCTGCTCTGCAGCTGCTGGGTGTGATGGCACTGGCTGAGCCAGCTCCAGCTGGAGGTTTCTCTGCTCCCCGTCCGATAAGTGAGTTAAAAGCAGCAGGAGAGCCGCCCACACTCACTCTGTTATCGATGCCAGATGTTGAGTGAAGCTTTTGATTAAGCTCATTCTCTTCATCCTGGATCCTGCTCGTTCCCAGAGTGCTGGCAGTGTTTAGCTTAGCGTTCTGGGAATGGGATGGTTGTGAAATCCCCATTGACAGCTGTACGCTTGGGCATGCATGTTTGGTGGCCAGAACAGAGCAGCTGTGTGCACCCGTTCCTCCAGCAGCATTTTCTGGGTCGCTGTCAGTTCAGCCAGGCAGGATGAAGCTGTGAGCTGCCAATATGGTCAGGGAGTTGATAGCCTCTGGACTTTCCCTTCTCAGTCTGCTTCAAGGTGAAGGCTCTTAGGGAGTGCAGCATCAGCACAAAGGAAGCACACGTGCTTTCAGAGGTCTGTGGCATGCTTTGTGAGCACTGGGTCTGCACAGCTGGAGCAGTGGGTGGCTGCAGAGATTTTTGGGTGCAGGAAATGCTTGGCCACTTTTTGCTAAGAGATGGACTTTCTGGAGAGCTGAAGACTTAACTTCTATTCCTTTTCTGGTGAGCTCCACTCTGATTTGTTTCCAGCACTGGAGGCACTCTCCTGGATCAGGTTTATGTTTCTCACCTCTTCTGATTAATTCAGTTGCCTGTGTTTCCTCAGTGGAGAACTCCTACTTCTCCATTTGTATTAGCTTTGCTTTCTTAGAATCGCATTGGTTGGGAGAGCTTTAATATTCCAAGATAGGGGATGCACCAGCAAGATCAACTTCCTGAAGCAATACTGTATGCAAACTGTTCGCCCAAATACCCAGGGAAGCAGAGAAGCTGTGAGGGCACAAAGTTCTTGAAATGACCAAGGGATCTCGTTGTTTGCATTCTCCTTGGGGAACAGGTGGGGATTTTAAATGTTCACCATCAGAGATTCAGGTTTTTAGGTCCCTGTTCTGTTCCACGCAAGTGGGAGGCTGAACAAACAATCCTATTGCCAACAGCATTCAGCAAGGTGTGCGGGCCACAGACTGGCAATAAATAGGTCACTGCTGTCACTGAGCTGGCACGGATCTCCTTCAGGCCTGTCCCACATCTGCATTTTGATGTGCTGATGCAGAGCAGAGCCACGACCTGTTGTGGCATTGTGTTTCCAGCCCCTAGCTGTGTGCTCTACTCCCAGTCCCGCCGTCCCCTCCTCCCTTGGTGCTGTGTTACACCTCTGCATGGCCGAGCAAGCTGCAGCTCCTTGCTGCCTTGCAGGTGTTTTCCTGTGCTCAGGGTGTTCATGTTGTAGAGTCTTCATTGGCAGCGGAACCGGCAGTGAGGCAGGGAGCTCCAACGCTTCCTTTGGCTGGCTCTTAAAAAAGCTGATTTTCTTGCCTGGCACAAAACAGAGTGATTGTATCTATTGTTTCCCTGAAACTTTTTGTTCTGTAGTTATTTTCATCCATTATCACAGGCAAGGGAAGTCTTGTGGCAGGATCACTGCTTGGTGAAAAGCCTCTGCGAGTCCCTTTGCATTTGCACAGGATAAGAGTATGTGATTTAAAGCTGGGATGTGCCTTGTCTTCGTGTGCTTCTTGGGGGAGTCTGACCTCGGGGTCTGCTCTGCTGCTTCCTGTTTGTTCTCTCCTTATCCAACATAGCAGCACCCGATGTGGGAAACAGGGGAGGTGTCCTGGGCTGTGTGTGAGATCTGTAGTGCTGCCTTTATAATGTGGTGCTCAGCTTTCTATATGAAGTGGACAAAGCACCTGGCTTGGTCCTTGCTGTTACGAGTAGTGGAAAAAGTTCCCCTGCTGCACGGCGGATCACGTGTTTGCCTCATGAATAGATTGCTGTGAGCCGGCTCTGCCCTGGCTTTAGCACTGCTACCCACACTCTTCTGGAGATGAGGCCAGCAGGGGTGAAGCAGCATCAGTTACAGAAGGCCTACATACAAACGTGCAAAGCTGGTGGTGTAGCACTTGTTTGTTAGTGAGAGTTTCCTTGCTGATAAAAGCCTTGCACTCAGCTTTGTACCAACAAATAAAAGGATTGTAAAGCAAAACTGAATTATTGGAAAGGAACTAACCTTATGCATTGCCTGGGCAGGAGGAAGCAGTGTTGGAAGCAGGGCTGCCTTCCAGAAGTCAGTATGTAGCCCCAGGTTAGCAGTCATGGTAAGTTTAAAACCAGCTGATGGTGAACATTTCCTAAGAAAGGGACACACACTGCTGAGAGAGAGAAAGCACGCTATGTGGGCTCTGCTTCCAAGGCACAGGCTGCCTCGTGCTCTCTGGTCTGTCCTTCCAGTTCCCTGTTTTCAAGTTCCAGACGTGGCACCTGCATG